ATATAATATAATATAATGGGAATAATATGATGGAATATAGGAGATTATTATATTTGAAATAACACAAAAGCACAATAACTTTTAAAACACTAAATGAATTTATTATTTAAGAAAAACGACTTGGAAGGACCTCTTTGAATAACTATATTTTATACGTGTGAAAATTATAATATCAGAGAAACAATAACAAAGAAATACATGGATTTTATTTTGTTAACATGCATAGATCTAATAAAAATCGAGCGGTATCTTTTTCCTTTGCTCTTGCAACAAATATTGGTATTCATATAATAAATCGGCTGCAAACGTAAAAAATAATAATAATCATAAATAAATTTAATATTACTTTTATTATATATAATCTGTTGTATTATTTAACCCTTTTATTCTTTTTCCTGCAATTTTCTTCAGATTTATTTTTTTTCCTTACTAGGACCTAATGATACCTTATATTTCATCAAAGTGTATACGCTACTGAGGACTTCTACGGATAGCTTACTGCGCATGCACTGAGACTGCCCAACACTGACGGTAATATACCATCAGCGACGTTTCTATTGTAGTTCCGCGCATCACTGCTAGGTGGCGCTGCGTCGAACCTGCCTATAGAGAATGTGTCTCTATATTTAAAATTAGTTAATAGATTATAACTTCAAAAATAACTGATTTATTGATATTGATTTTGAAATACGTGTTGCTGAATTTTGATTTGATTATAGAATGAATAGCGAACGTTTTTCTTTTTAAATATACAATTGAACAATAAAATTGAATGTCAAATACAAATAGAAATCTTCTTTATCGATAGCTTGAAAATGAAATTCTTCTTGATCGACGATGACTCTGATGATCACCACATGCCTAAGGGGGTGTTCAGACTAGGCAAGTACCTATCAAAATAGCCTAATGTGAATGACATTTAATTAAAGTTCCGCGTTTCACTGCTAGATGGCGCTGCGTCGAACCTGCCTAAGGGGGCGTTCAAATTAAGCAAGTACCTATCAAAATAGTCTAATGTGAACGACATTTAATACAGCGCAAGAAAGCAATCACCCGATTTACGTATTCGTCATATTTTCTTCCGTAACTTACAGTTTTCTTCAACTTTTTAGAAGCAAATTAATTGTTACATTATCTTTATTCTCTCAACACATTTTTATTAGCTTTCTATAAGAGCTTGTATTACAGCGCACACTAACATGTACATATTATTATGATAATTCCGTCTTAGAATTAAGTGTTAGTAATGTATCTATCTATTAATAAAATATATTAAGTCATTTGATGTACAAAAGTGTTTAAAAATAAAGATGAATAAAAACATGTACTTGCATATTTACTTATTTATAAATCCCGTCATTCCGATTCCCAGAAATTCTCTAAATTGTAAAAAATAAAAAATAAAAAACATATATTAATAAATTTAATGTAATTAATTTCTTATATTCGCAAACTATTCTAACAGCAGATTCGTAAACTATTCTAACAATTTATTCTAACCTAATAATTTATTTTTTGCTTTAAAGACATTTCAATTTTACCACATTTCAACAAATTCGCACAAATCTCTTTTATATCCAAAAACTGACATAAAGTATACTAAAAAATAAGGTTATTTTCATACTTCACAGTATAAACAAAAAAGAGAAGATTATTTCTCGATATGCATACAAATATAAAAATGTTCGTTCATTACAAACGTAAGCAAAGCAATGACTAAATTCTACGTGATTTCGAATCTAAAGCAATGATTAAATTCTACATTATAAATTAAAAGTGAAATTGTAATCGGTGAAATGAATTTTATCTTCTAACGTAATGATCTTCGGTCGCGAAAATTCTTCAAATTTGAAAGCTGTTCTTCTCGAGAGGCTACTTCAGAAAAAATGTTCCACGTTTGTAGAAAATTTCAGTGCAAGAATCTGCAAATAATGATTCTTAGGAATGTCAGGAATTACAAGAATGGCAGTAATAACACCGGAGGACATCGGCACGTATTGACGGTTGGAATCGATTTATCGATGTACGAGGTTATTCGCAGCCAATTTGCTGTTCGAAATTAATCGATCGTGGTCTTAAAACACCCTTAAATAATTCATACAAATTTGCAACTCCAACAATATTTGCATATTTATATTTCTCTTTTTTTTCTTAGAAGAAAAATATTCTACTCTTTATGAATTTTAAGTATACAAATTTTCTTCTAAATATTAAATGTAAAAAGATGCTTTTAAATATGAATTTTTAATATAAAATATATTCATTTAAATGCAAATTTTAAACACAAAAATATATAAATTTAAAATATGTATAATTATTTTTCTCAGCTTTTTAGCCTGCTTATTTGAACACCACATTTTAATCATTTTAAATACAACTATATTTACAATTTCTTTTTTTATTATTTTCATTATTTTGATTGAACATAATTTTGTATTATGTTGTATTAATATTGTGCCTAAAAATGTTCAATTTTTGCAAGAATATGAAGTGGTTGATGTAATGTTAAGGTAAGCACAATCAGAGGAGTTCCCAGCACGAGTACAAATTTAAAGGAAGCGTTATGTGAGAAGATCCCGATATACTATGATTTATTAAGAAATTTCCGTCAACAACATGGATCTTCTGTGATCGGCAATATCACCGTAGAAAATTTGTATCAAGGATTAAACGGTGTTCATACTATGGTTAGAGAAACATCTGAAACTGATCCAAAGCATGGAGTAAATATTTTCATTACATTCAAATTAGTGAATTATGTAATATAATATACAATTAACCAGTTAACTGTGGCGATCTTTTTGCAAACCGCGCACCAGTGTGTGTCGCGATAATCAAGCGATGACGAGTTAGTTCTCAAGAATTTATGAATCCATCTCAAATCATTTACACTTTTTATTTGTTTATTTCATTTCGTGTTGACCTCTAAACATTTTAAACATATTACAATTTACGAATATAATTTAGTTTCGCCAAAATTACAATTTAAATATAAAATTGTAATAAAATTTTACGCATGACGGATATAGTCGACATGGCACAAAATTCTGCCACATCTCCATGACGGATATAGTCGTCAAACACACTTAACTGGTTAATATACAATTATTCCTAAAGTATATAGCAATATAACACGTCACTCAATAAGTCTCTGGTCTAACTAAGAAAAACAAATTTTTTTTTAGAAATTCCACTTTAATCATTAATATACTTTCCTTCCAGTGTGATACATTGATTCCAACGCTCCTCTAACTTTTCAATTCCCTTTATATTAAACGATTTGTCTTTGCTCCCAAAATAAGCTTCAGTTTCCTCAATCACTTCTTCATTTGAGCCAAATTTCTTTCCCTGGAGCATTTTTTTCATATTTGCAAAGAGCCAGTAGTCGCTGGAGTCCAAATCTGGGGAGTACGGTGTGTGGGGAAACAATTAAAAACGTAATTCATTCAATTGAACCATCGTGTCACGTGTTCATCGACTTGTGACACGACGCATTGCCTTCGTGAAACAGCAAACGCGGCACCCACTTTGAAAGCAATTTGCACATGCCCAAATTTTCATGCAAAATTGTGAAGGCACTACCTTCTGATATCTTCAAGGCATCAGCTATCTCACACAACTTAAGTTTACGGCCCTTTAAAACTATTTTGTGGACATTTTTTATGTTTTCCGGAACGACTGCTGATTTTGGGCATCCAGAGCGTTCAGCATCATCAGGGCTTGTACGACCGCGTTTAAATTCAGCATATCAGTCAATGATAGTTGATTTCCCTGGTGCAGAGTCCCTACAATGCTTATGAAGTCACTTTTTGGCTTCAACAGTATTTTTTCCGATTAAAAAACAGTGTTTAATCAACACACGAAATTCCTTTCTATCCATTGTCTTCAAAATTACGAAACTGGGGGTACTAAAATGACTGTAACTTCTAAACTATTGGTCAGAATATCCTGAAATTTTGACGCGCACTGTTTGAAGGTTAGTATTATTCGAAAATAACGTGGGTCTGTCACCAGTGTCGCGTGTATGTGTCAGACCGGTGACTTATTGAGTGACGTGTTATGTATAATAGGTCCTCCCTTGTCAACATTCACCATATTTTATCATCTCGATATCTATGTTACATTATTGATAGATTAAGTACAGAGGACTGACGATACCAGAAGTGATTATGCTTTTACCTCGACAAGGAAAATCACCGAGTGCTGAAGCGGTGTTTTGGTTGTTGTTAACGGGTGATGTTCCAACGCAAGAACAAACAACTTCTTTAATAACTGATTGGTCGGTACGTCGTCAAAAAAGAAAGGAATGGTGGTCAGGACCTGGAGGTGGCATCGTTGGTTCTGTTCTTCACAGTCTTCCAAAAACTACGACACCTTTGAGTAAATTGTCTGTGGCTCTTACTATCTTTGATTCTGGAAAGTATTTGAGGGAAGGTTTAAGAAGCGGTGCTCAGAATCACACTCTATGGGAAGTGAGTTGAATTAGGGTCAGAATGAAAGAAGAAACAAGGACAAATTTTTTATAACTTGGAAATTATAAAATATTTGTGAGCTGTGTAGATATAATGCAATTACTAGGTCTGTTTGATTGAGGCGCTCCGCGCCTGACCTAACAATGTTGAGCGAGCGAGTATATTTCACGCTAAAGCAAAAATAGTCGACCGTGTCATTCGGTTGAGTTGATTGAGTGGTGCAAGAGAAAAATGTGAACAAAAAAGTTGAAAAGTCAAGTACATAAGCGCGAGCTAATTCAATTTTGCATTAAAGTCTACGGGGATATGGTTTTTCGGTGATTATTCCTCCGTGGCATGCGCGGGCGGCGCGCAGGAGGAATATATACGATAATGAGTATGCAAAATCGTTAATTACTCACTTTCTGAGCACAGTCTATCAACTTTTATGATTAAAGAATGTTCACTGATTCCCTAACTACTTTCTCATATCACATATGTTCACATTTTTATTGTAAATAATTAGTTATTAATTAATATCCAACACGAAGTCGACGGAATACATCGCACGCATGAGCTAATTTGAAATAATTAATAACACATTTTCTAAACACAATTTATGGACTTTTATTATAAAAGAATGTTCAGTGATCCCTCAGCTACTTTCTCGTATCATATTTGTTCAGATTTTTAATGACATTAATTAGTTATTAACTAATAACCAAAGGCCAGCCACGGTGACAAGCGCTATACACGAAGTTATTTTGAATAATTAATTACACGTTTTGTGGATATATTTTGTGCATTTTTATGATTGAAGACTGGTCAGCAATGCATTATGTACATGGTTCGATCATAAAAGTTCATAAATAATGTTCGGGTAATGAGTAATTAATTATTTTGTGTCAGCATTGCGATATGTACATAAGCCGCCTATGTCAATTCAACTATACATGAGCCGCCAATATCAATTCTATTGCGCATGCAAAGTGCAATATTTCGGCACTTTGGCGACGCAGTATGGCTCCTGAGGCATTTAGAAACAAATTTCTATTAGGGTTTGATGCGTTTTGA